CCAGGCTGAAGGTCCTATTTACATTGCTTCTCCCTGCTCTGGGCTTGGATTGCATGAATGAAGGAGGGAGTGGGTAAAATGAACGAAAGTACAGCCATTAGTTTTCTGTCGTACAAGGAAGAGGCTGTGGCCTCTTTGTAGGTTTGTCCATGAGGCTAACCCCTTATTTCCCCATAGGGAAGACAGCTTCTGTTCTGGCTTGACCTAGGTCCTGCATCTGGCCTTCTCCTCCTTCCTCCCTGGACTTTCTTTTGCCGAGAGTCACCTCTCCAGCCCAGTTGTGGTTGTTGTCTGGCCACTGGGGAAGCAGATGAAATCTGCAGGTTTCAGCACTAGAGTTAAGGGCTGGTTCAGGCTTCTACTCAGGTGTAGGAAGCTGAATGTCTCCATCTCTCCAAGCCAGTGTGCTCATCTGTTGGGATGAGGGGCATAGGGTAGGCAGATAGGCTTGGCAATACATGTTGGCCAGTGTTAGCTTCCTTTCTGCTACTCTTCCCTCCTTTCTCCTCTAGTCCCCCAAATTCCACGGTAAAGAAGAAATCGACCTTCGGGTGTTGAATGAATAAGTGGGGTGACTAATTCCAGAACCTCCAGAAAAACAAAGCCTTACTATTCCTGTGTTCCAAGGGGAGTGTATAATATTTGCCACCTCCTTTAGGAGTGGGAGGTGGTGGGAGTGGAGGGCGGCCTAGGCATTTGCCCAGCGCAGCTCACTCACGTCTGTGCATCTGAGCTGCACCCTGGAGGGGAAACAAATGAACTGAGGGAGAAAGGAGGGCACCTGAAGTGAATGACCCAGCTCCCATCTTTGATAACGTCTGCATTTAAAAGCTTCTTGCAACATCTGGGTGGGGCATCCCAAGGCATGACCATATTTCATTTAGCTTACCTGAGAAAGGAAGAGGGTGTGGGTCCCACATCCTTCGTCTTCTGGGACCAGTATCCTGGGTGCCAGGTGAAAATGTAGGTCTCGGGCATGGCTGCCACACTCTCAGGAAAGGGTTGGTTTCATCACGTGTGATCTGCTTCCTCTATCACCGCCTGCCTCCTGTCATCCCCCGAGATAAACACTCCTTTCCCTAATTGTTCTCCTGCCATCTGGTCCCTTCCACATCATCATTTTATCTTATGTCCCTGTCTTCCCTTGGAGCCCCAGGTTGGCTGGCCCTGGATGCCTTCTCTGACTACGTGATCCGCTCAGCTCTCCAAGTCTGATGTGAGGAGAGTGTGTGTGGACCTGCATGGTTGGTCCCATGTCCATCAGCTTTGTAACTTATCTCTTCCTGGGAAAAGCCTTTCTCAGCCGGAGCCTCTTTTTCCACTGTGTGGTGGTTTAAATAGGAAGTGTCCCCCCACAGGCTCAGGCCTATGAAGATTTGGGCCCTGGTTAGTAGTGCTGCTTGGTGAGGTTTAGGAGGTGAGACCATGTGTCACTGTGGCCAGGCTTTAAGAGTATAAGATGTGACCTCTCAGCTTCCTGCTTTGGTCCCTGTTGCTATGGTTACCCTGTCCGTATGTACTCTCCCTCTGGAACCGTAAGCCCAAATGAACTCTTTCTTCCATAAGTTGTTCTGCTCTTGGTATTTTATTACAGCAACAATGGAGCAAATAATGCATATTTACAAATTAGACTTAAGACTTTTCTTGTTCTTACTGTACTGTACATGTATTTAATTTAGTCTCTTACCTATGTGTTCTGACTCCCACACAAGGAAGGAGAACATACATATCTTTATCATTATATCCCCAGCAATGAACACAGTTCCAAAGTGCTTAGCACAGCAGATAGATGTGTGTTGAATGACTACAAGATTTCTGATTTTTCAGACAAAATGGTACCTACTCTTGTTTTTCATGCCACCTCCAGAAAACACGATCTCTTTCATCCATGATTCTACAAACCACCAAAAATATTAACTGGACTAGGCTAGAATCTTCCCAGTAAGACCGGTTCTCACAGATTATTACAGATGGGTTGATCGGGATATCAGAATTAGCCAGTAAGGGCTAGAGCTTAAAGGGCCAAGCAGTGTTTAAATGAATACAGTTTGTGTGTTGTTATTTCGGGGCGTAAGCTAGCCGAGCAGGCGGCCGGGGTGCTGGGAACGCAGCCCCGCCGCCCCTATTGCTACAGTGGGGGAGACTCATGCTTCAGAGGGGCTGGGCCCATCAGAAACTTGCTAGCTCAGGAATACTTGGTTGAATCACGGCCTCCCTCCCTACCCCCTAGACTAGCTCTCCATCTTTCTGGTTTTCAGTTATTTGAATCTCTGCATCAAGAATGCAAAACCCAGGAACTGACTTCCATTGACTCGCCCTCTCCTCCGGCTCACCTGCCAGGCCTCTTGGCTTGTGCAATTCTCCCTTTGATCTTTTTTTTTTTCTATTCTGGACACCAGTGCCAAGTTCATCTGCATATTTTAACCAGCCAATATTCATATCCCGAGATCCGAGAGATTCGTGCAATGTGTGGCCCCAGGCCAGCCATGGACGCTGTTGAGTTTTCTCCATGGCAACCATGGCAACCGGTTTCTGAATGCTCTGCCTCTTTTGCTGGTCAGGAAGGTTCTCAGGGACACGCTTCTGGCAGAAAGGATGCTTCAGGGAGAGATGGAGGCTCCACTTAGCTAAAGCAAACACTCCGCCCAAGAGGTTTTGACTTGCAAAAGGTTTTGATTAGAGCTATATATGGGTTTATCCCGACTTGCAAAGTTAAAATAAATAAAACCCCATGTGCATCAGTAGATGCAGTCTGACCCTTGGAGTTTGGTGAAATTATGTCGTCCTTCTCTCTCCTCCTCTCTTCTCTTTTCTGCTTCCCCCCTCTTACCCTTCGTTCTCCATCTCTTCTGCCCCCTTCTTTTTCCTCTGCCCCCTCCCCCTCCCTTCCCTTCCTCCCCCATCTCCCATCATCTCTTTTCCCTCCCAGTCTTTCTTTTCTCCTTCCCATTTCTCTATCCCTTTCCCCTTTCATCCTCTTTCTTCTCCTCTCACCCCTTCCCATCCCTCTCTTTCCTGCTTGCTAGCTCAGTTACACTCTCTCCCTCCCCCTTGTCCTCTTCCTCACTGCCCCTCCCTCATTTTCTTTGTAGTACTAGGGATTGCTCCCAGAGTCTGTGTATGCCAGGCAAACATTCCATCACTCGTGAGTTTTCATTTTAAATTTGGGATCTCATTAAGTTCTCCAAGTTGGTCTTGAACTCACTCTTTAGCCCATATTGGCTTTGAACTTGTGATTTCTCCACCTCAGCCTCCTGAGTAGCTAAGGCAATAGGCCTATGCCACCAGACCGAGGTGGAGCTTGTTTCTGTCTCCCTTCACCATGTACATATTATTATTATTGGTTCCCTGTAGTATTTACATACATTTTAGCTCGTTCTTACTTTCTAGCCCTCTAAGATGGTTGGGACTCTTTCTATATAGTTCTGGCTCTTGACCCAGATTCATCCTTTTTTTTTTTTTTCAAGTCTCCCTGATACCTTAGGTAGGACAATAGAAAGGTACTTCCAGGTCCTGGGGTGTCATTGCATGTTGTCTTTCATAGTGGAGGGAGCAGAGAGATATTTGTGTGTGAATGCAGTGATCCATTATAAACATTTATTTGTGTGTGTGTGTGTGTGTGTGTGTGTGTTCGTATCTATTTGCAACCATAGCTAAGCACATTCCTATTGCTACACCTGGAAGTTTTTAAACAAGGACTACGAGACTCCAGCTTGCCTGGGTACAGTTCATCCCATAGCACTGAGGAGTTACCATGGACACACCGCTCTGCTCTTCCGAAGTCTTCAGGATGCTCATGCTGTCAGGGGACAATTTAAAGCATCAAGGAATGGAGTGAAGGGAGCATGCAGAAGAACCAGCAGCGAGGCAAATCCACCTGAGGCTCGGGGATCATTTTGAGAAGACAGCAAACCTGTCGCTGCCATGGCTACGTGAGTCTCTACTTTAGGAAAGATCTGGAGACACTGGGCAGGTCCTTGTGGCCACGCTGAGGTCCTCTCCCTGGAGTTCTGTGCACTGCAGACCTAGGGGTGTGTGTGAGGGGGGTGTGTGTGCAGTTATCTGTGCTCTTGGTCTTCACTTTTGTCCAAGTTTTTCTGAAAGCCAGAAAAACTCTCTCTCTTTCTTTCTCTCACTCCTTCTACCCATCCCTCCAGCCCTCTTCTCCCCTCCAATCCTTTCTTTCCCTCCCTCCCCCTTCCCACCATCTCCCCCCCCCCCGACCTATTCAGTTCTTGGGCCCTTTGTTGATTGGCACTTTTACCTCTTTGATATTTAATGTGTGCAATTATTTGTAAATTCTGGATATTAACCCCTTATCTCAAGGGTGTAGATTTTTTTTTCCATTTTGTGGGCTGTTTATTAACTCTGCAGATTCCTTTGCTGTCCAGAAGTTTTCATGTGGTCTCATTAGTTGATACTTGGGGTTAGTTCTTATGTTGTTGATGTTCAATTCAAAAAAGGTCTTGCTTACTTCAGTATCTTGAAGGGTATCCTGTATGTTTTCTTCTAGAAGTTTCTGGTTATACATTAAGGTCTTTGATCAATTTGAATTGATTTTTGTATGAGGTCAAATATACAAATCTGATTTCACCCTACTGCAAGCAGAAATCCAGTTTTGCTGCCATTATTTGTTGAATAGGCTTACCTTTCCCCCAGTGTATGGTTTTGTCTTCTGCGTCAAAAATTGAATGATTGCTTAGTGCCAATTACTTTTGTTAGTCTTTTATCACAACATCGACTAAAGCAGCTTCCTCTTCAGAAGCTGAAATAAACTTCTCTCTCCCCTCAGTTGAGAGAAACGAAACAAGAACTGGATGAAATCTCAGCTTTGTCTGAGCCTTAAGGAGCAGGAAGACGGAACTACATCTCCCAGGATACCACTCGGCCAATCTATCCCCCCCCCCCCCCACCTTCTGACCGCGCCCCTCCCAGTCCGTCTTTATAAAAGGCAGCGCGCCCCGCGGCTCGCAGAGCAGTGCTGGCAGTGTGGGGTACATACTGCGTCTGGGCGCCTCCAGGGCTTTCCTGCCTAGCTAGCGTCCTCCCTGTGACACCAGATCCCCGCGGACCTACAAACCCGAGCACCCAATGGGATATTCTGGGTTCGGTCGGAGTCCCCGGTGGCCCTCGCCCGCAGCTCTGGCGTCGGTCCATTCCGGGGACCTCGCTGCAGCCGCCCGGGAGTCCCGGCTCGTGATCTTCCCGCTACCCACGCGGGTCCCCAGCGCGGTGGCGGCGCTTTGGGGTCTGGATGAACAGGGGAGAAGCGGGTGGGGGCGCCGGATCCCCTAACGTGGATTACTTGGTGCTTATCAATTGGATTTAGAAGACCCGCGCGAGACCTCGTCCCCATCATCCACGGGTTATCGTTCCACCTCCCAGCTGCTTTCCCACCTGGAGGTAAGTTTCACTGCGGTGCGAGCTTGTGGATTTGATTTGCCTACTCATCGCTTGTGTTGCCTTTAGAAGGTTTCAGGATTGGAATTTTTGTACTAGTTGACCTCCCAGGGGTCATTTTAGCAACTCCTTTGCCTTCAAGTGGAACCTACCAGCTCAGATCTCTGTAGGCAGCGGCCGTTCTGGGTCATCGTCCTCAGACGTGGCTAAGCCCTTGGTTATCCAGAGAGGGACCGAGACTTAGCGGAGGAAGCGTCAGCCTTCTTGGCACTTGCCTTTTCTCGGGGATGGTCCTTCGGGACCCTTTGCTTTGCTATGCCTCTCCAAGCAGCTGCCAATTGCACGCAGCGGGCTTCTGAGGCGCAGTGTTTGGAAGCACAGGGGCTGGGTAGAGGTGGGAGCGCTTGGTGGATACGGCATTATTTGGAAGAGTGGGGGCTGCTGTGGAGCTATTGGGGGGGGTGGATATTGGCCACCCTGCGAGCATGCTTTCTGAGTGGAAAGACGGAAAAAATTTGGTCCAGCGTGTACACCCGCTACCCTCCTCTGCCTTTTTGTGCAGCTTGTATCAGGACTTTTGGCTTTGGTTTTAAGAATAATTGTAAATGAAATGAATTTGTGCCCAATAGCCTTCTCCCCTCGTCCGTTTGTGATTGCGTTGTTCTGGAGAAGTTGGTACCTGTCACCATATAGCCCGAGAGTGGGTGTTTGTTGAATGAATGACCAAGCTACCCCACCCTAAATTATTCCAGGTTCCTCTTTCTTTCTCTCTTTAGCTCTTACCCTTAATTCCAGAACCTTTCCCCGGAGGTGGTTTCTTGGGGACACTTTCCCAACTATAGGATTCCCTCTCCCCTCCCCCACCCACCCCTGTCAGCAGTCTTTAGACTTGCTTTTGGAATGTGTGTATGGTGATCAATTTCCCACCCAGAACCCCCTCCTTAGAAAGCTACCAAGCCAGGGATTGACTTTGGTAAGCACCCAGGGTCCTGAGCTCTCAATCAGCACCTGCTCAGGGAGGGAGGGCTAGGCACCACAGCAAAAACAGAGCCATTTTTCAGAAAGAGGCATTTGTGAGTCCTGACTGTCCTGTAGAAGCTGGGCTCTGGCTCCATCCTGATCCTTGCACACTGCCCAGGATGGTTCCCCTGTGGCCATCCTTCCCCTGCCTGGTTCTCTGCCTCGCCCTGACCCTAAGGGGAAGCACTTTGAAAGCTTTCTAAATGACTGACGATCCACAGCATACCTCTTCCCCACCCACTCCCCCTTCTCTGTGTTACAGGAAACTACAGAAAGTTGCATTTGGCAGAAAAACCTCCACTTGCCATAACGTTGGGAACCATGGTTCCCCACTGCTGTAGCCCACAATATTCACGACTTTGTTTCTTCCACATGCCTCCACCCGGGCCATCATGACTCTAGTACTATTATATTGGCCTGCAGCTGCCAAGCAGCCGTTTGCTTGGTAATCCAGCCTCCTGTTGGATGCTTAGGTATCTCCAAACTTACACACAACGATCATGTGCTGGTGAGGGTCCCTTAGTACGTCAGTATTTCTCTGCATTTGGGAGGATGCTCCTTGAGAAGGGTCTAGAAATTGTCTTCTTTAGGTCAGTTGGTCAAACTTCAGAAGGGCATTGTGAGTGGAAGACATTTCGGAGAGGCCTTAGAAGCCTCTCTCTCAGCTTTTCTTTTAGGGAGGGGACACAGGCACAGGGCGCGAATCTAAAATAGGCAGCTGAGTGGATGCAAGGCTTGCTCCCTTCCAAAGAGTGGATCAGCACTGCCAGGGCAGGTCGCTGCAATTCTCCTTAAAAACTACGGTGGCAGCTGCTTCCGCGACACTAGATCCACACGTGCTAGGCAGCGTGAGTTAAGACGCCGCCTCTTCTTTAAAATTAACGTTTGAGTGTAGCATGGACCTAGGGTGGTATGAAAGTTGCAAATGCAGCCCCTTTTGCTAACTTTCCCCACATCTGTTAACATCTGGCACACACCTTGGTGCAGCCATCAGGCCCTATAGGACACTGACAAGGATCCGGGACTCTGACTTATTCACAGGCCTTGCGCGTTCCTCATGGATGTTCCTCCTTGGGCCCAGGATCTCCTCCTAAGCGCTAAGAAGTCGTCTTATAAACCGGAGGCTGAGGGAGCACAGCAGGTGGGCCTTTGATCCGAGAAGGCCTGTTATTGAGAGGTCCCCTCCGCCTCCTATCCAAGTTCACTCTCCCATCCTGTCTGACAGCTGCCAAACAGGATCAAACCCCTCCCCCCCACCAAGGACCTCTTTGGAGGCCCTGACCCAAAATGGAAGAATTATCTCTCTCTGTCCCCCACTCCGCCAAACTTCTAGCAGCCATGTTGTTGAGTGAAAACTGGGTTCTTACCCGATCTGCCCTGACACGTTTCTGGAGGCAGGAGATGGATAACATCCGGTGTGCGTGAGAGGAGCTGCTGAGCAACCCACTCCATGGTTGAGAAGCACGCGGTGCAGGGCTTGTGCAGGTGACTCACAACACAGGAGTGGCAGGTGTGTCAGGTCCCAGGCTGCAAACCTAGCTGAGGCTGCATTTCCTGGTCACCTGGGCAGAGCTCAAGGGACTGGCAGTCTGGCTCCCACCTCTGAATGGACAGGGAGTTCTGGGTAAGGGATTCCACCTTTCCATAAGAGATTTCTTCTTGGTGTGCAGGGAGCCAGCATGAAGGACCTTGGGGGTTTTGGGGTGAGAGGAGCCAGCTTGAAGACTGACCAAAGGCCTTCACCTACAAGAATGCATGCAAGAAGAGCGTTGGTTCTTGGCCATCTTTTTCTTTTCTCCCAGAAAGTCTCCCCGGCCGCCAGCTTACTTGCCCCTCAGGTATGCACCTACCCCATCCTCCGGACAGAAACTCCATGAGTCTAAGCCTTAGACCCACAATATGTGTAGATCAGGGCTGCCTGTCTCTAGCATCTCTCAGCCATTGCCAGCGTGGGGGGGCTGGATGCATGGAGCATAGATGACGTTTGTATGAGGTTCAGCAGTTTGGGGGTTCCTTTCGTCTCAGAAGAACACACTTCTGAGGTCTGGCTACCCAGCCTTGGAGCACTCTGAACCTGCCCATCCACCCATCCATCACCTGCTATGTTTGTTTGTTTTTTTTTTGTTTGTTTTTGGAGCTAGGGTCTCACTCTGTAGCCCAGGCTGGCCCTGAAACAATCCTCCTGCCTCAACTTTCCAAGTGCTTAGGTTAAAGATACAAGGCACCACATACCCTATAGTGTGGGATCTGAGAAATCGGGAATCTGCTGCTACTCTCTTACTCCTAAGGCAAGGCCCAAGTGTTTTCTATCGCCACTCTGGTGAGGATCATTGCAGGAAGGGTTAGGGGAGAGGAGCTGGGGTGATGTCACTACACAGCCTTGGGACGGACACCATGGCTCTCTCCATAGCAGCCTTGCTTCTCCTTTTGGGGACTCATCCTTGAACCCAACCCCCACTCCACTCAAGTAACAACAGTTCTTCCTGGCTCTACCTGGATCCAGTTCAGACTGTCCCCTGGCCTTCCACAGTCTGTCTTCGGATTGAGGCTTGTTTGAGATTGCGTGGTTTGGAGAACTTGTTTAGCAATGTCCCCACTTCCTCCAACTTAGTTCCATTTTGATTTGTCTGGGGCTCTTCAGAAAGCATCTTGGTGGGCCTGGAGGCTGCTTGGTGGCCTGCCTTTCTAACGCGCTCACCAAGCTATTGTACTGGAGACACTGGAAGAGAGGGTTCTTGGCCAGCTACAGCCCAAATCCAGCCTCTCCCCGCTGAAGCTTCCCTGGCCATGAAGCCCATTTGCTCTGCCTCCTCCAGGCAGCCTCGGTGACTTCCCATCACTGACCCCGAACTCATTGCTCATGTCATTTGTTGGTACACTTTTCCATGGAGCCCTCTCAAATTCAGGTGTCTTTTGTCCTTAGTGAGACAGTTGTGCTGTGGGTGGATTAGTAACAAAGAAAGAGCTTTTGTGGGGTGCAGGAATGCATTAGATCTGCAGTCCTTCTCCCATGGGTGAGCCCCCCCCCCGGAAGCTTGGAAGGTGCCCCTAACTAGGCAGCTTTGTATGCGTGTGTCACAGACCACTGTGATCTCTGGTTATGACCCCAGCATCCCTGTCAACATTAGTATCCTAGTGCAGCCAGTGGCCTCTTCCATACCAAACTGTCCTTTTGACGTTGGGACAGGTCCTCGCTACCATAGCCCAGGCTGGCCTCGAACATACCACCTCTTGTCTTCTCCACCTTTGAGTGCTGAGATTACAGGCACGAGCCTCTCCACGAGGCTAGCAGCCCTGACTCACACACTGATAGAACAAGAAGATGGGGTTTGACCCCCTTCATGTTTTTTTGTTCCCCCTTCAGTTAGGCTACTGGCTAAGTACACCATGTTCTAAAATCCCCCAAGCTCCCTGCTTTTTAGATGGAGTTTGTGATATGTCAGCGGTACGGGCGGGGGTGGGCGGGGGGGTCCTATACAATACCATTCCTGTTTGGTTCTATGAAAACCCCAAAGCCCAGAGGAATCCTGCAACCTGCAAGAATGCTGAAGCAGCAAGTCTCCATCCAAGAATTCTTTCTGTACCATGAATCATCACCTCCTTCCTTATTTGGTTGGTTGCTACAGGTTTTTGCATAGACGTCCGGAAGCCAGGTGCCTTTGTGTGCGGTTAAACAGAAGTGGCTGTGTTTCGGGGAGCACAGCAGGGGACTGTGGTTCTGTAACCCTAGAAAGAGATCAAACCCCTACAATCTGGGACCCCCACCCAGCCCAGCAGCTTAGAAGAAGCTAATCTTTAGCATCTTTTTGCCTAAGGAGTGGATCCCTGACCTCTTTTAACGCGGTCAGTTTGTTTTTCTTTGCTTTTACTGGACCGAGACGTCTGGGGAGGTAAGGATGGGAGGGCTAACCTCGTCTGCTGTCCAGTTCCATCTGGCACGCTCCAGAACCATCCATGGAGCATCCCCTTCCCGTAAGTGTAGA